AGCTCCATCCCTTCTCCCCCAGCCCCCCCCAAATCAGACCTAAAGTCACAAGGATTTCTGTTTCAAAGGGACCCCTCCTAGCAGCAAGAACAAAAGCACCCTCCACGCACCCCCACCGTCACCACGCTCGCTCGTACTACTTTGTATTACTGCTTTTGAGGCAGTAGGAAGAACAAAGCAGCCTGGTTAGGCAGTGGGAAAGGCAAGAGCGGAGCTCTGGCCCTCCCCCTGCTAAGGCAGAGCCGCGGCTAGAAGTGACGCTGCAGAAGGGAGGACGCAGCTTCCCGAAAGACACGATCTGCTCCCGGTGCCTCGCGTGCCGACTGCGCTCACAAAACCAGTCCTGACTCCTGCAGAGCAACCCAGCTGAACTGACTCGGTCTCGTTCATCGACAAAAGGATCGGCTACACGGTGATTAAGGTTATTACTGGCGATGACGTAAGAGGCCACGAACGCCTTGTTTGAATCAGATCCTCAAATCATTTGCAAAACTGGTTATTAAAAAGGTCAAACTTTATTGTGAAAACCAGTAGTCTTCCAGGACCACCCCTCCACCCGTATCAGTCAGTCCACTTTAAAACTAGATTGTATTTAAATCCAGAAAACAATCTTCAGGAAATTTTAAAGCCAAGCTGATTTGGGGACAGCATATCATTTAAAATAATTATAAACAGAGAACAATGTTATTTGATTGAATCTGCTCTACAATAACCTAGTTATCTTCCAGTACTAGGGCAAAAAAGAAAAAAAAAAAAAAAGAAAAAAAAAAGCACGATCACAACTGGCTTGTGGTGGGCGGGTGTGTTGAAGGCACGAGAACACAGCACGTTCAGCTACATTGCAGAGGAGTTGTGTATCGGGCCAAAAGAGGCTCCCTGGAGAGTCTGAGACATACTCAGGAGGCGCTTCTAGAATTTGGTGAGGTCGTCACAGGATGTTGCTAATAATTCAAAAGATCAACAGAAACAAAAGACATGGAGACATTTACACTCACCTTTGAAAAGGAAATCCAAGAGTTCACTGATACAATCAGGTCTTTTAAACATGCCTCTTACTTGCTCTACAAGAACCAGCCGTTTGGCTCAACTTCAGCAGTCACTGAATTTCAGGACTCGTGAAAGTCAACTCTACGTATAACCAGGCACACCGAAGCTGGCTGCACAAGTTTCTTATGTACACAACTGCCATGATCCCTCCCTTCCAGCACTCTCCAGTAAGTATTTGACTTCTCATGTTCTTTAAAATCATCTCTGCACATTTTTCCCTCTCTCTTTTTTCTTTTTTTTTTTTTAAATTTTTTGAGAGGGATGGAAGGGAATGGTGAAAAAGAGAGTTGGGAGAAACAATAACATTGGAAAATCTGCAGAGATCCCTGCACAAAAAAATCTACCTGAATGTGTAAACTGACTACTAAGGGTATTAGAGGAAGAACTGACCCTCCAAGTTTCCCTTTCATTTTTGGGCAAAACCCAAACCCTTTAATCTTCACTGACCCATTCACAGTGGAGCACTAATGGATTTTATATGCTTTGGAGATGTGAAGCAGAGTAGTATTTTTGTGTTCTGGCTTTTTGCAGTTGTTAAAACCTCCTGAGCAGTCCAGCACTTAGCGCAGGGAGTGGGTCAGCGTCCGTCTCAGTCCTGAAATCTGAGGCTTGACCACATTCTAGCACCCAGCGCCTCTCCTCCTCCCACCCACACCCCCTGCCGCCCTCTGTCACAACACTCAAACGTCTCGGTTCCTCCTGGACTAGAGGCACTCACATGGAATACTTTAATTGTCCAAATAAGTGCATGGCATCCGAGATGCACAAGCAAGGGTCATGATTATTTACCTGTACTTTCCTCCGGATGCATTGTAGGGGTTTTCCTTGGCCCCCGTTGCTCACTGCTCTTCTCCCCGTTGCTCTCCTCCAGGGTTATAACAGGCTCCTGGCTCTTCATCAGCTGACTCAGCAGAACGGCCAGCACGTTCTGCATATCTCCCTGAGCGCTGGCTGCTTCTGGAGTCGCCTGCTCCTCTGGTAGCTGGGTCTCCGCAGGTGGCTCTTCTATGGCTTCCTCTGCTGCTGCTGCCTGAGACTCCTGCTGCTGAGTTGTGGCTTCTGTCAGAGCGTTGATGGACTGGTTGAGAGCCTCCAGCTGCTGCTGCATCTCTGGGTTAGAGTGTACATTCAACAGCTGGGCCATCTGTGGGACACTCAGATCAGTCTGGCTCTGCAGCAAGTTCAGTAACACAGCTAGTTCGCTCTGATTCAGCTGCTGGGTGATCTCTCCAAGGCCTGCAGGAAACACAAGAAGCATCACAGGAAGGTTAGGCGAAGCTACATGGCGTTGGTTTGTAATCGTGACGCTGCACGTACCAATGAACACCTCTCCTCCTTGTCCCCGGGCCGGGGGAAGGCACGGAGGCTCCAGGAGGAGGATTCCAGGATAGTTTGCTCAGATTTCCACCATCAGCTTGCCCCCTCCAGACTGCGATCAGCTCTGAACAGCACTGCAGCAGCACCCCGTGGTACCGCGCACACACTGCACTCACCCAAGGCTACAGCTGGGTACTGTTAGCCGCAGAAGGAAGCTTCTTCACTGCCCCCTCAAATTACCAACTTAACCGCTTGTTAAAATCAGCTCAGTTGAGCCAAACCTCCCCATTCCTCAGTTAGCTAGCCGAGGGCATCCCAAGGACCAGACCGCTGAGCAACTACACCACCCGTGATGGCAGCGAGCCCGAGGATGTGTGATGGAGACTGAAAACCCATAGCCCGCTTCAGCAGTAATCAGAGCAGCAAGTCTGACAGCAGCCCAGCCCCTCCCAAGGTCTCTACAGCACTCTGCAGATCAAAAGCACTCCCTCCTGCACTGGAAAGCAGGTTTCCTGGGATGGAGCTAAGCTGCTGTTTGGGACAGAGGAAGGGTGTGTTCCACTGATGCAGCGAAAGAAATTAGGTCAAGCAAAAGGCAATTCCTTGCTGAAAGCTGGCCTGGGATCACAGAGGACTCTGTCCTGACCTGCAAGTATCCAGGTTAGTCTAAAATACAACCCTTGAGCGGCATCACCTCCCTTTGCACCACGCTGGAGCAGAGCCTCCTGAGTGACAAGTGACAAGGGTGTCCCTTCACGCTGACTTTGTAAGGCAAACTTTTTGGGAAGAAGGGTGCAAAGGTTTGGGTTTAGAAGCTTAAAATTAAGCTCTTCTTGCTGGTAGGCAACTAAGAACATGACACTCACTTTTCTCAGCTGTTTGTTAATCCAACCATCACCTTTGGTCCATCTGCCATGTTTCATTGAACACATGGATTGCGCATTCCCCGGAGCAAGAGCTGTCTTCCCTGTTACTTGTCAGGACAACATTTGACACAAAGGAAGCTTTAGCCCAAATCTGCGTTTTTATAAGGCTTCTACAGAACAATCAGCATGGTCTGGGCAGCTTTGTATCTCTTTACATTCCCAGGAATCAAAATACCTCCCCTCCAACTATTTTCTAGAAACAGGCAGGCTGGTCACAGTTTTGGAAACACTGCACAAGTCCTGGTCCTGCAAGTCTTTATGACCAAGTGATCTTTTCTGCAACAAGCAGAGTGCAATAATGCACACTTTTGCCCACCAGCCACCAGTCTGTTACATCCCATGCCTAAGCTCATTTGCACCACCCTTTACATGGCTGCACCTTCCAGCCTATTATCTGTTACTTCGCTGGCTTAAGTGACTCAGTGACTCCTTCCATTATTCTCTGTGAAAGCATACTTCGGAACCAATAATATAACTCATAGAACAAATTCAGTCAGCTCATCAGTGAGTGACTTCTGAAGACCAGCCAGAATGCTCTGCAGTCAATAGTTTTCACAGCAGAGGAAAGGGGGCGGGGGGGGAAATCAGGATAGGAAGATTCTGGAATGCCCTTTCTGTAGAAATAGAGGTGAAAGAACCAGACTGGCTTAACAGATATAAGCTTCCCGCACCCAGACCAGAGAGGTAACATCAGGAGGAGCCTTTTACAGACCAAACTGGGCACTGACCTACTGCATCTCCAGCACCAGACTCTGTTTTGAGCTGGGCAGGCTGTGGGTGCACAGGACTGCTGTTGTTTTTGACAGTGTCTGTGCTTGTAACAGAGGTAGTTTCTTTCCGAGAAACTTTTGATAATGGTGGCTCCTCCACTGCAATCCCACTTTGCCGCTGCCGTCGGCGTTTCTTGCTCCACAGCTCGTGGCAATCCTGCCAGTGGGGAAGGCTGGAAGAGAACAACACTTCCCAGTTAAGAAGCATAGCAAGAAAACCCATTTAATCCTCAAATACCACAGAAAATTATTAGCGCCGTAAGAGAAGCACAGATGTTCCTCTGACTGCAACCATACTATTAAACCAAGAAGGGGCAAGTTCTAGAAAAGCAGCATAATTGCATGTGAATCATTTAATTTGCACCGGGATCTCACTCCTGAATGGACTGGGCTAGCTACAATGCACGCAAGCCCCAGTGAGTGCAAGTCTGCCAAGCTTTGAGAGTCTGGTGGCTTTAAGGAAGCAGCTGCCTTTAGTAACTCTGAAGGAAACAGGAATCTCAAAAGCTACTGCCGTACTTGCACACAAAGCAGCTAGAGCAGAGTTTTATAATCTGCTTGATTGGAGTGGGAGAAGGGAGCTGCAGTGTGACACTGCTCAACAGCCACTCTTCTATGAGTGTTCACTCTTCGATGAACAAGCAGCATAAACAAGGCCTGGCCAGTCCTCCATGGCACAGAGGACAGGGATATGCTACTCTTACATATCTTCCAACAGAGTTTTAGAGCACCTTACAAGCATTAAACTGAGCTTTAAAATAAAACCAGCCTGTTACCAGGCAGAAAACCAACAGCAGAGGAAAAGCCATTTACTCAGCCATATGACAAAACACAAGGGCAGAGTTGAGAAAAGAACACAAAAATCGTTAACTTAATTCTGACTGAAAAAAACCCAAGGCCAAGCCAGTGGCTCCTTCCCAAAGCTCATTAGCAGAGAGCCCACTGCAGTGGAGGATGCCAGCTGGAACTTACTCTGGAGGTGCCATTTTGCTGAGGTCAACATCCTTAAGGAAGTCACTCTGCAGGGCCTGTTCTGCTGTGCAGCGCTTGCCAGGGTCTAGCGTCAGCATGTGGTCCAGCAGGTCGAGAGCAGACGAAGGAATGCTGCGCAGAGAGTTGGAAATATGGCTGAGTTAAGGGGTTGTTCTGAACAAGCCCACTTTCAGAGAGACACCTCAGGCCTAAGAGAAATCCACGCAGTCAAAATTTATTACTACGTGACGCAACAGCTCAAAGACATCAACAGAACAGGCATCAGGTATGCAGTATTTTCAGTCTAATTTTTGCCATTTATGAAGAGCAATTCTGCTGCAAATCCCACAAGATTATCACACAACTATACTCTCCCCCCCAAAGAGCATGTCTCCGAAGTCAGATAGCCTCAGCACTGTGAGAATGCCATGCTGTCAAGCGTGCTTTCCAGCGCAGACCCTAGCTAGAAGCTTCACAAGCGTGCAGAGGCAGGGAACCCCTCTGGCAGGCACCTGTGGCAAATCAGATATTTAGAAAGGGGACAGTGACCCCATTCCAGCCTTCCCCAGATGGGAGAAGCCCTCCTGGAGAGGGCTGCCCGAGGGTAGAAGGCAAGAAGGGGAAGCGCTGCTTTATCCTGCCAGGTAGCCTAGAGCCAAAGGCTAGCAGATGAGTCGCACAACGTAACAGAAGGCCATAATCCTCACGCAGCCACTTATCCTCTCTTCTAACAAAACTCACAAGGAGAACTCCTCACGCAGGCGCCTTCGGTATTGCTTCTTCGGTTTCATAGTGTTGAAGTAGGGCAACTTGATGACATCTGGCCACACCGCTGGACAGGGGCTCCCACAGAGCCGGCTGAGAACCAGAAAAGCAGAGTACGATCAGCAGGTGGAACGCAGCTAGGAGAAGAGTCACCAACCTGAGTGAAAACGTTTCCTTTCTAAGCAACTTACTGTACCAATAAGCTAGGTTTGGGCACACTTCAACGAAGATTAGATAACCCTCAGGTTAAAAAGGAGGTATCAGGAAGAGGACAAAAGCTCACCTTGAGTTTATAAACCATCCAACACAATGAATTTTCAGTGCGAGATGTAATTTAGGTTCATGATTTTTGCACTCAACTAACGACAGCCAAGTTTACGGAGCGTGCATACATTAGCAGCCACACACTTGATGGTAGGCATGGACACCTAAATGCCTAACTATTCACATTTGCAGTTACAGTCATTTGCTGGTCCTATTTTGCAGGCAGGTTACAGAAAAAGGGCTCTTATAACACAGAGACTGTGTGCATGAGCAGTTTCTGCAGTACCTCTTCTCATAGGCATGCATGTGCAATGCTTTACCTGATTAATTCAAGCTGAGCCAGTTCCAGATTGGCTTGAAAAATAGGCTTCTTTGTAAACAGTTCCCCGAGGATACAGCTGGAAAGAGGAAAAGCAAGAGGTCATGACAGCAAACCCTTGGGATGATCGTTTGAACACTGCAGCATTTCTGTTCAGAAGCAGGTTTGCCTGAGGAGAGTTATTTGCATCAGGGCTTGTAGTTGAGAACTGACAAACTAACCTATGTGTACAGTCACCAATTCTACGCAGCTGGGAAATAGCATTCACTAGTAGGCTGGTTAACATGTCACGGGCTTCACGATTTAACTCTTTGCAGGGAAAGGAGGATGTGTCAATAGCATGACAAGAAAGACAGATTCAGCCCATTTATCTTTTTAATTTTACTGCCACAATTTGGGGGATATCTGCTGGCCCAAATTATCCTCAGCTGTCAGCAGTGTATTGCTTGTCATTGAGCACAGGCTTTATGAGGAGCAGCTGAGGGAGCTGGGGTTGTTTAGTCTGGAGAAGAGGAGGCTGAGGGGAGACCTTATCGCTCTCTACAACTGCCTGAAAGGAGGTTGTAGTGAGGTGGGTGTTGGGCTCTTCTCCCAAGTAGTTAGCGATAGGACGAGAGGAAATGGGCTCAAGCTGCGCCAGGGGAGGTTTAGGCTGGAAATTAGGAAAAATTTCTTCACGGAAATGGTAGTCAAGCATTGGAACAGGCTGCCCAGAGAGGCGGTGGAGTCACCATCCCTGGAAGCGATCAGAAAACGGGCAGACGTGGCACTTTGGGGCATGGTTTAGTCTAGTCTACCCTTGAATGGTTTAGTGTGGACGTGGTAGTGTAGGTTAATGGCTGGACTGGATGATCTTAAAGGTCTTTTCCAACCTAAACGATTCGATGATTCTATGATTACTAAGCGCAGGATAGCGCCTTGTACACACAATGTTCGTACGTGCACACATTTGTACAGCTGGAAGGAAAAGAAGAGAAGGAGGGAGGGGACAACTCTGACTTGTTCAGTCCTTAACATCTACCCTTAAGCCTTCTGACAGGAACGGCAATCAGTGCCAAATATAGCTGCGGTCTGATACAGGCACCTGTCCGGGCTAACCCCACTCATTTGGCACAGGACACTGAACAGCAACTGGACCTCATGGCCGGAGTTTCCAGAAGCAATTATCAGAGCCTGACTTTTACAAACCTTTGTTGTTTGTGTACTAAGCTCTGCTGAAAGTTTACCTGTGAATATCACAGTGGGAAGTATGCACTTTGGGAAATCCAGCACCACTTCGGAATGCTGAATCTGAGTCTCTGGTTCTGAATCCCTTGGAAAATGTTCCATCTTTGTGGCTGAACTGCCCAGACTCCTCCTGTTCATGAGGCTCCCTATACTACTAGAAACCTGAAATCTCTAAAATGTTTTCTAGATTTAGCTGAAAAAATTAGGTGACAAACAGACCAATTTGAAGAGGTTACAAAAAACCTCTCTATTAGGTCATTCAAACCTATGACCAGCACAGAGCAGGTTTGTCACCCCTTCTGATCTTAGTGGTACATCATTATCAAAGGTTGGTTGCTTTGTTTTTTAAATAGTGAGACCTTTTATGGTCTCGCATGTCAGTACCAACAAAAGTCTAATTCTAGGAGGTTTTACTAAATGGTATAGCTTTAGCCAGGTGACACACACCTATTTCCTCAGAGCACAGAATTTTGGAAGTATTCCTACACCATCACAACACACTTTGCCTAGCTGGAGCAGATACAGTTTCAGAAATTAGCACAAATCAAAGACTACCTTCTATTAAAACTATTCTATTCATGTGCTGACGTTTACAGCCCAAACAGGACAAAAGATACAAACCAGGCACTTACCCACAGCTCCACACATCTATGGCTGGTGTGTAACGCTCCTCACCTAGCAGCAATTCTGGAGGTCGATACCATAACGTAATGACTTTATTTGTGTATGGACGGCTGGAATGCAAGGTACAAATATAAACTGATGACAAGAACCACAAAACCCTTGCAAACTGTAATTATTACTTCCAAACCGCAGTTAGGCATGTAAGTAGAAGCAGTGGGCTTTCAAGTGTCTAGACTTCCATAGCACGAGTTAAATAAAGCTAATATCACAGATTTTATAGCTCTGCCTGTGTGCACAAGACAGTAAGTTGTAGATACCCAAGTCTGAAAAATCCTGACCTGCAACAGGCAGCAGCAGGCTGCCGTGACTGAACAGTGACTGATCTCAGAGCAAAACGTGGTCCATGGCAGGTCCATGGCAAGCAGAGAAGATGTTTTGGTTCCTTATCGGCTGGTTTGTCTAATGACAGGCTATTAACACCAGCCAGGAGTATATTTTTTCTGACAGCGGGAGCTGTGTTATACCACTTAAGCCATACTGGAAATCATTTCCCAGGCAATACGAGGACTTCCAAGTGAAGGGACTATGTGGACATTAAGAAGAAAGAAGCCCAATCCACCTATGTAAACCATTTCCCCATTCCTCCACGCTGCTATGCCTCACCTCTCCTCTGAGCTGTAGAGTCGGGCGAGTCCAAAATCTGCAAGTTTGATTTGCCCACTGAAAGACAAAAAAACAGTCGCTGGTTTGAATCACAGCTGGGCTCACGTGCTGCAAGCAGTAAAATGTAAGGAAATCCCCCCGTGTAGTAGAAAGGCCTAACAAAGCAGTCTGCATTTTGGATATGCCAGTCTTAATTTTTCAAACCCTATTTAATGCTTCAAAGAAACAAACAAAAAAAAGCAGTAATTCAGTCTCATCTCTATCACAAACCCTTCCCAACAGACCAATGTCCCAGAGGAACTTTTCAGATGGATATCCAGACATGTGGATGCAATTATGCGCAGTATTATTCTCACAGGCTCGAAGCCTTCTTATGGGTATCCAGATAAAGACTTGAGAATTAACAGCAAATGAGTAATTGTTATGTATTCTGTGATGAACTACGTTATTGCCAAACACTGCTATCTAGAGAAGAGAAATCCATTCCATTTCCATTCCTGGAAAAGTGCTACTTCCGACCTTAACCCTCAGTGGTTTCTCTGCATACAAGCACTTGCAATAAACACTATTTTTGCCAAAATACCATGGAGACCAAGTGTACACAGAGACCCATTTACTTCAAGTCAACAGGAAAGAAAGTTAACTGGAAGGAGCTGCAAAACGGTGAGCAGAGGGCCTCACGTGGAGAGACTGCTACTAACAACAAGTTAAGTAGAAGGTTGTTAGGGTTGTTCACCCTGGCAGCAGGAACTGAACACCCTGAACAGCACCCAGGAAAGCCACTGCTTAATTACAACCACCCGTCACACTGCTGGTGGAAACATGCAGGGTTGTATTCCTCCAGTGGACCAACATCTCCTGTCCCTAAGCATACTCAAGGTGAAGACAACTGCGGGCTCTCAGCTGAACCCAGGGAGAGCACAGGGAAGAGCTCGGACAGAACTGCATCTACTCCCAGGTTACCTGTTGTTCAATAAGATGTTGGAGCACTTAATATCTCGATGAAGGAAATTCTTTTTGTGACAATAGTCCAGACCCTCCATTAACTGTTTCATGAAAGACTTGATATGGTCCTCTGAGAAATGTACCAAGCCAGATTCTAGCAGCCCCATTAGGTCATGGTCCATGTACTCAAACACAAGGTAAAAGGCACCTGGTATAATGAAGAGAGAAATGATTTAAGACAAGAGAGGAGAGACAAAGAAAAAGGAGGAATGAAGGCAGATTCAGTTGTTGAAATATTCTTTTTTGGGGCACTGTTGAATGTGTTCTGTTGGCATTTTCTTTAGCACAGTCTTGTGATATTTAGGGCTTACTGGGCATCCTAGAAGAGACTTTTTCCTCAAGGCAAGAAAAAAACCAAAACAGCTAAGTAGCCCCCTCTAACACATCAAGCTGACATCTGAAATCAAAATATGCCCCCAAAATAAATTCCTTTGAAATCCTGGTCACGTTTATCTATCTGTTTTGTTTTTTCTTTCAAGCTAGTTTGCTGAAGAGACTACTGCTATGCATGGCTTGAGCTGATGTTTGTGTCACGGAAGAGAAGGCCCCAAACAAAAGCTAGTGGGATGCTAGAACACCCTTCTTCCACAGTGACAGAGGACACACAACTTTTCACACTACCAGTAAGTTTGTTGCCACTAATCAGCGTTAAAAGTGACCCTGTGAAGGCTTCTTTTTGGTTGTGGGTTTTTTGTTTTTCTTTTTTTTTTTTTAAATTTTTAAAGACTGCTCTTTTGTGACTCTACAGAAACGCAACGCATCCTTTTAAGCCCGTGTCTACCTCTGCTCTGCAGTGCGACAACTCATTTTAACTGGAATCTATGCTTTGATGTAAGGCCAAATCCAGATGCCAAACCTGCTGGAACTACATATCAAGGAGGAATGCAAAAAAAAAAAAAAAAAAAAAAAAGATCTACACCAGAGTTCAGACTATTAGTGTTACACTAAGAATAAACAAATGGAGTTGCATCACCTCTTTGGCTAATCAAAACCACACCCTGCAGCAAATACTACCTTTGTCCTTCTTGAAATCCAGTGCATCTTGTTTGTCCGTAACAATTTCCTTCATGTTAACAACACTGCGGTGGATCAGCTGCCGAAGGATTTTGATCTCACGGATGGCCGTGATGGGGAAGCCTTCCTTTTCATTGTCCAGCCGCACCTTCTTGAGAGCCACCAATTCACCTGCCAGCACAAGCCAGTGTCAAAGCCTCTGCACACATCAGCGCTAACAACTCCGTGGGTTTCCAGGGGGAAGTGGAAAGCAGCTATGAGCACAGTCAACATCCACCAAGAAACAGCAAAGCCAGCTTTAGTTACCACCCAACTAATTTTTGTTACATTGCTCTGTCAGAAGTTATCACACCAACGACTCAAGACAGACGACACCAGTGCTCCTCCTAATCTGCTTCAGAGGAAAGTCACAGAGGTGGACTTAAATTTACCCCGGAAACCACTCCAGTCCTTTTCACAAGCTCTGCTACAATAGAGTCTGACAAAGGCACGTTTAAAAAGCAGGGCTTCACGTGGCACCTACGGCTGCCATAGGTATACCTACCGCGACCATCTGACCACGTGTCAAATCGTACACACAGGGCACACGATTTCACAAGCAGAGAGGGCAGCTGGGCACTTAACTCACAGTTACCAAGACTTCAGAGCTTCTGTTCTTTTGCCCCTTTTGAAAATATCTGATGTAAATGCTTATTCTGGGGCTGGAGCCATTTCTAGTTCTACAGGTATTTGTCATTAACTGGCAACACCGCTAACACTGGAATGGGATTTAAGCCCAGCCACAGTAACAAGGCCTTGAAGAAGTGGAGTCAATCTGAAGCCACTTGGCATCCTTACCTGTGTCCTTGTCCTTGGCTTTGTACACCTGCCCATACGTCCCTTCTCCGATAATCCCAATGATATCAAACTTGTCCACACAACGCTTCCCCCAGTCGCTTTCTGTCTGTCTCCTTTCCCCATACCGAGGACAACAGATTCTGAAAGAGGGAAGAGGACTGTTAGGCACCCGAGCGCTCCGCCTCACCCGCCATCCCACCAACAAATGCCCATTTGACTGTTTTGAGCTGTACCCTAAGAACAAAAAGCAAAGGTCAGGCACCCTGGCTTTACACTCCTGGCAACTGAGCGTTCAGTAGATTTTAACGAATTATGCTATATAATCTCAACTACTCCAGATACAGGCGCTGCTGTGCAGGAATATTATCCTTCTATTTCATTCAGATACTAAAGTGCGCCAGCCAGAACACTTTCGCTATCAGATCTTTTCACTTCAGTTACGTATTTATCAGCTGCATACAGCTAACGAGCAATACACTGTTCCTCCTGGAGAAATAGGGAGTGCAGAGTGTGGAAGAAGCAAAATGGATATTATGCCACTTCAATTCAACAGACTTCGAGGTAGCAGAACCATTTTGCTATAGCCTACCTGGGGCACGCAGTTAGCTACACAGATTTCTACAAAGATCTCATTATATGCTTTTAACTGAGAGTAGCTTGAAGGGGAACCAAACCAGTATCTTTATCTAAAAAAATACCAAAGAACTATGCTACAGCAGGACAAAGACCAGTGTTTGGAATCTTTTGCAGAAACACCAGACATTTGATTTTTATTTAAAACAAAGTGCAGCTAGCACTCTGCGTACAAAACGCCAAGGGAGCTTGCTTCCTTGACAATTGCATAAATTTTGTTATCGGGAAAGTTGTATATACCGTGCAACATGACTAATACTTCAATCGTGCATGAAGAAAAGGTGTCTGTCTCCTGTTTGGAATAACCAATTCCTAGAAGCACCACAAACTTTATATAGGGATACTCATCAGGAGGGTTTTTTGGCCTGCAGGCTATAGGCTAAATCAAAAGATGAGACAGCTTTCAGGGTAGATGTGGCTGGAGATCGAATACGACACACTCCAGCGACTTCTACCACTGAAAGGGTCAAAGGGGAAGACAACAGAATCTGTCACAGCTTCGGTATAACGCCTAAACCATAGTCTCCATTTGGTGCACAATTTACACCACCTCTTCTTCCCAAACTGCTATACTGTTAAATTCTCAAATAGATGGGGCAAGTGGCCTTCAACTGTGAGTGGTCCAAATACGAAACAACCCACAGGAAAATTAATATACCATAAGAAAAAACAGGAATACAAACTTGTTTTCTCCATAGTTCACTTCCCTCAAAGACAGCACTCAAACGACTCTGGGCACAAAAGAATTTATAAAACTGAACTAAATCTGGCTAAAAATTTATAAGTGAGCACACGTTAATTGTTCTCCCTATCAAATAAATGGCGGGGAGGCTGCCGAGAGCTGGCAAAGCAGCTGCCGGATTCAATTTAAGAAATGGCTGCACTTTCAGCAGCGCTGTCTCCACACAGAGCATAGGGCACGCAGTCAGCTCTTCTAGGAGTGCTGCTGTATACACCGAAACTCAAAGGTTTGGAAACTTCGACTGACATCTGTGTGAAGAAACAGAAAACCTAACAACTCAAAAAAGCTGAAGAAAAAAAAAAAAAAAAAAAAAAAAGAAAGCCAGCCTTACTTTGGTCTCTTTTTGAACGGTTGCTGAGGTGGTGTGGCTGCCTTTGGTTCCGGGGAGTCAGGAGGAGATGGATCCCCTCCAGGGAGCTCTGGAGGGAGCGGGAGGTCCGTGAGTAAGTGTCGTGGTCTCTGCTCTCTATCTTTCTTCACAGGTTTTGGAGGAAGAATCTCTTTTGGACTAAACTCCGAAAAGTTAATACAATACAGAAGTCAGACTTAACAGCCAATTAACAGACAAAAAAGCCTACTCTAGGAAAAACAGCTCTCTATTTGAGAATGTAAAGTTAGGGCCCAAGTTTAAGTGCCAAAATTAACATCGCCAAGTATAAAACAAAACAGCCTTAAATTTTACAACGATAATACATCAGGAGAGAAAAGTATTAGGTTTGAACGCATCGTCTTCAAATAAACACACAGCTCTCTGCAACTAGATCTCACTCAATTTGCACAAAAAAGTAGTTATTCTGAGTTCCCTGTAAAGGTTATCAGCCAGCACCCACTTTCCGACCCTTACTTCCTCTATTTAGTCCATTTATCATAATGAAATTAAATGCATGACTTGTTAAGGACCACTATAAATACGAACCCAGAATTCAATCTCTCTACGTAAGTAAATTTTAGCTTCTTAGCAAGGACTGAAACGCAGCTCTAACTTGTCAATACTGCTGAGAAACCAAAAGTTGACTTTTTTTAAAAAAAAAAAAAAAAATCAAATTACTAATGGCATCAGAAGCTTGGTTTAGACTGGCAAGCGCCTCATAAGCAGAACCTAATTTCTCTCTCACGTATACAGCCGGGAGAATTCCTAGGTCAAAATAGTCAAGTCAGGAATTCTTCTCCACACAAATCTCCACTTCACCAGGAAAAGAAAAAGATTAAGAGATAGGAACAACCTTCCAAGGTTCATTTTTAGGGCAGCCAGCAGGAGGTTTGCTGTTTGTCAGCATCGCCAGGTCTAACGCTTCAACGCAGAGAACTCCGCATAAATGAACTGATGGAAGTAGGTCATTCTCCCAATTTTTTTTATTAGCCGCTGCCTAATCTGTACGAAAATCTCTTGTGAAATATAGTTAAGAAACAAGCAAGATGAAGACGGATATGATTCTGGCACTGAGCTCTGACATCTTCTGTAAAGACGGGGGAGCAAGAAGTCACCACGCAGCTGCAGAACTAATTGCACGTCCCGCCAGCCTAGACCTCTGGAGGAAAGCACTGACTGCCGGGCACCATTACCAGCGGTACACAGCCTAGAAATAACCAGAAGCGGGAGAGCTGCACGGGCTGAAGCTCACCCCCCATTAACTGCGAATTCTCAACGTGCAGAATGATACCCAGCCGGGTCACTTCACCAGGGCAGAATCCACATTACGCCTCAGAAGACGTTCTTCAAAGCAGGATCTACGCAGCCAGGACCTACAACCACGTGTAGGAGGCAAGAGACTTTGTTCCAACAGAGCAGATCAACTACGTTTTGCTTTCTGTACGGCTTTCAGACGCGTATTTGAAGCACTGATCTAATGTCCAGTTCTTACAGATTGAACAAAAAAAGCACTTGTTTATTTGACTTTGTGTTTAACCCACTTCTCATGGGCAATTCATTTGCTCCCGACAGTATTTAAACATCTAATAGTATATGCTAAGCTTAGGCCCTCTGACCCTGTCAAAAAGATTCAGCCTTTTTCCAGACACATCAAAAGCCAACTTCTTTGCAAGACTTCTTGGGAAGGGCGAAGGTGTGTTTGCAGGTTTAACCTGCAGGTGCCCAGCCTTCCAGGAGGTCCTTTCTCGCCCTCTTACCAAATAGTTACCATTTTCTTGCTGACACACTGTTATCTGTGCTTAGTTAATCTATTTGCATATCAGCACCAGTGCTGCTAGATGGTTACTGTAACTTTAATTACCCCCAGAATATTTGGATATTTCACCAGGAATTTCTTTCTAAGTGAGAAAGCTAAACAGACCCTTCAGAGCTGCCCAAGCAGAAAAATAACAAAGTGCGAACGCCAGCTGCCTAACAAAGACTCCTAGAAGTTGCCTCCCCTTCCTCCCCTCCCCTGAAATAGCACGAATGCCATCAGCCAGGTCTGCATTTTTAACTATGGTAGTGCTGTGAACGCTCAAACGGATGTTTCCAGGAACCTGCGCAAGCCACGCAGTTTCTGAGCGCAACATCAAACACCTACAAAGTTTGTACCCCTCGCTTCCAAACAGCTTTTCCCCTCCTGCTACACCTCCTGCTAGGTGAAGCGACCCACGGTGCACCTTGACTGCTGTGAAGTCCAGAAGCGTTACAGATAGATGCTAAGTCTCGAGAGCTCAGCAAGCATCAAGAAAGGTTAAAGAGTCTCTAATTGAATGAGGTGTGCTTTGTACTTGGACACTTCAAAGCACATTTCCAAATCCTATGCTTACCCCGGTCTCCGAGCTGGAGCGTTCTCCCAGTCTCAGCACATGAAAACAAAAGCCGATCTAAGGAAAGTTTTGTTCATAAATACGAAAGCAGTTGATTAAGAGTGAGCTGCACACAGTCAGTGCCATATGCAACTGCCACCAGACTCAGCAAAATGAAGTGGGATTTCCTGTCCTTTTATTGGCAAAAAGTCACTGTAAATCCATTTACTAAGCTTAGCAACCAGCTGTATTATCACCCACACTCCTAAGTTCATAGTGTTGGCAGAGATAAAACGCACTTTTACAAAACTAAGCCACACCTGGGTGGTAAAAAAAAAAAAAAAAAAAGAGCTCTAGGTGTAAGTGGCTAAAAAAAATAAAATACAGTATTTGCAGGACAACTTCTGTGTTTGGAAATACGGGAACACAGCAGCGGAATCTTGCTTAGACTGGCATTTGAGTTGGGAAAAATCTGCAATCTGTTAAAAGCTACTGCTCATCACAGATACATTTAAACTAAATAGATATTTGTTGAACAAAATTATACAGCTTACGAAGGGCAACATAAACATGCACAAGCCTAACTTTTACGTTGATCGCAGTGACATTACCCTAACTTATGTCAATACCAGGACAAACCATGAAAATCAATTAAATTAATCAGAATACGTAACATACTGCGTTCACTTCAACCACAGGGTAATTTTAGCAAGTCATAACTATTGTGTAACACGCTATTCATTAAAAAGCATGCTTTACTAACCAATGAGATACCTAGTACATCTCTAGCGATGGTTGGAAAGATACAGAAGTTCTTAGGGAACTACAGGCTAAGCAGATCAAGTAGAAAAAAAAAAAGTATCAGTGATGACCTTATGTTAACAGCACTGTAACATACTAACAGCTACAAAAGGAAAAGAAAAAGATTTGTTTTTCTTCTTCTCCATCTGCATTCTGGATATTCTGTTCCTTTCCACTCTTCCCCCCACCAAAAGAAAACCCCCACAGTAAGGTTTTTCAGACAAGTTCATATTCTAATATGCCAAGACCCAGAGCAGCGAGAGCTACAATTACAGGACAGAATTAAGTCTGCATGTTTTGATTAGAAATCAGAGGAAACGGAAAGTTGAAGTAGGTGCAGTTTCACTCTCTTATTTTTAAACTCTTTTTCAATCAAACAACACCTACTTCTTAAGCAATAAGGACTGTATTAATTACTCAATAATTAAGACAATACTTAAGTTAAACCAATGCCATTTTTTTGCACGCGGGCATGGCCTGCATGTTTGATGAATTTGGAACAGAAATAGCTCTGGTTTGTGTTCTTGTTTTGGAATTGTTAAGCTCCTTCCTCTTACTTAAGTCCAGGTTTTGGAGGACTTAAACACAAAAGCAATTTCAAAACAAGCCTATGCAAATGGCTGCAACACAAAGGGGTGCATAATTCCATGTATTCCACGATCCATGTTTCATTACTGTAATAAACATAAACAAAGAGCGATGTGAAACCTTTACTAGCCGGCATTAAAACAGCAGCCAAACCTCTCTTCCTCACCGAGATAAGACATAACTACCTGCACAGGACCATAAAACTCTCCACATAAACCTGACAAGGCCAAAGCCAGGAATGGCCGTGCAATAACGCATTTACACCAGCGGCACAGTCCTCAGTGTACTCTGCAGGATAAGCTAGCAGCTGTCAAACTAACCGAAATAATCTGTTTATTTCAAGGTTTCGCTTTTAAACGCAAACAGGATGCTCTTGTGTGACCTTACCTATCCAAGTCATCTTCCCCAACTAAAATAGGGGGGAGCGGAAGCGGAGGCAACGTTGACGTTTTCAGGTGTGGGATAGCAGCCGTCACAGACACTTGTGTTTTTGTAGCGACTTGGACAGAGGACTGAGAGTTCACCTGAGAGGATAAAGTAGACGTCCTTGGGTGGGAAGAAGATGGCAAAGACGTTGGGGCTGAAGTAGGGACCTGAACGGGAGTCAGTTGGGATGGTGGCAAAGGTGGAACAGCAGGTGATGGAGGCAAAGGCGGCAACGGCGGAGTTGGAGGTGGTGGTGTGGTTGTCGGCAGGGGCGGAGGAGGTGATTTTAGTGAGGGTAGTGGGGGTGGAATCTCCTTCTCTGCTGCGTCTGTCTCTTTTGGAGATAGGAGGTCCTCTACCACTGCTACAGGCTTCAAGTCTTTTGTTCCCGTCTGTTTTGAATCTCTAACCGGAACAGGATGTTTCCTCTCAGAGTTCTCCTCTGCCTTGATTTTTGTTGTCTCTGCAGGGGCTTTAGTCTCAGCATTTGTATAGAGTAAATTAACTAATTCTGTATCTGAAGATGATTTTTCAGATTTAACAGTTTTGATGACTTTTTTAGATTCTGTTCCAGCCTCCTTAAGTTCAGCTAAGCTGTTCTCCTTCCTAGACAGGAAAACAGGAGAGCCCTTTGCCTCCTTCCCATCCACCTTGGCTGCAGCTGCTGCCGCTGCCGCTCCCTCCTTTTTTTTCCCCCTGAGTTTTTCTTCCTGCGGAGTTCTGCGCCCAGGCTGGAGTTCAGCGGTAGCCTTGTCGGTGATATACTGGAATGGCGACTGCGTGACCCAGACCTCTGCTTTTTACTGTGAGATGATGAGTGTCTTGAGTACCCAGGACTTCGGCTTCGGGACTTCACAGACTTCCTGTGGAGAGAGCAGGGAGAAGATAAATGAAACGAAGCATCTCCCAACCTCCGAGCTACTCACCGACATCAACAGCTCTCTTTGAGAACAATCTGAATCCATTATTTGTCAACTAAATTCAGACAGTCCGTAACACCTGTCAGGAGAGGCTAAAGCTACCGAAACGAGCTTATCGACTAAAGCAGTACAAGTTTCAGGTCATCATCCAGTCTTCCAATGTCAGGACTAGCCTCGCAATCACACTGTCAAGACAGAAACGAAGGATCAAGATTGGACAAGCCTCGAGGTAAAGACGAGATCACAGATGCACGCACTAAACAGAAGACTTCAGTCGAGAGGATGAGCTGGCAGTTTACGAATCTTTCACAGTAATTATGTACAACTTTAAAGGAAACAACAGATAAAATATGACTGCCCTCACGGGAATGCCGCCTCAGGAAACATCTCACTTCAAGCTAATTTTTCCCCCTGGTTCTTCTACTATCATCAGAACTCAAATTTGCATATTGTGATTCAGGAGAAGGGAAAAAAAAAACCCACAACCCAGGGATTTTAATTCTGTTTAAGGTATGTCCAGAGGGTCTCAGTCTTCCTCTACAATAAATGGGCTCAAAATATATGCAGAAATAAAAAAAAAACCCACGCACTGAAAGTCTGTGTTGTGATACAAGCAACAGCCAAGGCAGGAAACGCCTCACACCATCGGGGTACGCACCATGAGCACGGGGTGAACCTAGTCAGAAGACGTCAGTAACCACAAGCTCACCGGAGACTGATGTGGAAACAAGATAAAAAATAAAATGGAACTGGTACTTCCAGCGTCCATGTCAAAATTACTGACAAGACAGAACTGTTTCCTCCACTTCAGGAGGAACTAGGATTTTGCAGGTGATGAGACAGCATACTTTAACTGTACACACAGTAGGCTCTGATGGGTTTAGAAGCTGTGTGAGCCAACAGGAAAATGAGAAGTTTTGAGATCAGACCCTATGAATACTATAGCAGAAACTACGCTCAAAGTTTATTTTTATTCCGTGATTTATTACAGAACATATCTAGTTTTGAAAATACGGAATTCTCTCAAAATATAGTTCCACAGGAGTTACAAAAAACACCTAATAGCAAGCAGGTTTAAACACAGTAGATGCTGGCTTGCTTGTAACCATACTGGGAACGTAATTAACAACAAGATCTGAACTGTTTACAGTGCTACACAGTATTATCCTGAGACAACAAACATTTGGAAAACAAACTGGAGAAATGAGACAGACTCATGCAAAGTTCCTCACTAGACACCACCAGCACCTTCAAGGATGGGCACAGTTGTGATTGCGCAGGAGGGGAAGGGTCTCGCACGGTGGCGTGGAGTTTAACAGAACCCTCGTCCCTTGCTTCTCCAAGCACGAGCGTTCTGCCCTCTCACTAGTGAGTACAACCCCAAACCTCGTGCTAACAGTGGTCAAAGAACACGACGACTGTAGGTAGTCCTTACCTTTAGACTTACAAAATAAATATATAACCAGAAGGAGGGGGCAAAAAAAAAAAAAAAAAAGTGTCACCTGAAGTCACTCAACTATTTTCCTCTTCAACACACTGTTCTGTAATGGGAATGCTGCCTCGGGATCGCCTCCTTTTCCAAGGTTTCTGCTTAACGAATTAACGGTCTCAGACGCAGTTTACGGTTTGGATAGCAGTTCACCTGACGCATCCCAGTGCAAAGCTGCCAGGAGCTGAAAAGGCCGTTACATTTTCACTATGCTCAAAGACATTCGCAGGCTAGGGAAAACATTCTTAATGAATCCTGTAGGATGTCGTTTACTGCAACCACAAACAGTTTTGGGGTTAGCATTCCCTGTGACGGTTCTTTCAGGATAGATTGTTTAAGACGCTGCAGTATCAGCCTCCTGCTCCCCGTCTCCCATCCTTCCCCATGGTTACCCCCCAACAGTTATTCCAATTCAGCTGGTTACAGAGCAACATTCTCAACCAGATCCCTCAGCAGATCTGACGTAAGCTTCTCCGAAAGCGCAGTTTTACCTTGTTTTTAAGTGCTACATTAGAAAAGCAGCCACCGAAGACACCTGCACGGACACAAGCAAGGGAAAGGTAACGCCGGGGGAAGCGGTGGGGCTTGCAGACGGAGCATGCGGCTCGGGGTAGGACCCTCTTACGCAAGGGCTGCTGCGGAAGGAGCTGCACCGCAGAACCAGCCCTTCCAACCTGACAAGGGCTGGCGATGACTCCCTGACCTTCCAGCAGCAAATCCACACGCTCCCCTCTTCCACCAGGACTAAATCCACTTATTCCCTTCCAGTAGTCTTCTCCGCTCCTCAGGCACCACTCATGCTTTTCCTCTTCGGTTGTCTAATGATAATTACCTATAGTTATTATACAAAGAGCTGTTGTCTCTAAGCCTATTTTCCAGCTTGATGTTTACGGCTTCTTTGTTAGATCTGAAAAAGGCACCGCATCCAGAAGCTTGTCTGCTTTCCCAGCTCCATCAACGCAACCAGTAATAGGCCACTCTACAACAAATCTTACCTCATATCATTAATGCTCATATCAGCGCTTGCTGAGGGGCGGTCTTCCACAGCAACACTTGCTTTTATCACTGCTGGATATCTCAAAAAAGATGCAATAAGGCAGAAGACGCACAGGTGGATTTTGCTTTTTAAAGACACTCTTCCCATCTTCTGGAATGATCTTTTCATGGCTTTACCTGCAGCCAGTTAGCGCTTTTACCCCTTTCACCCCTAACAAGTGTTAAAGCAACGCTTGCTTTGCTAAGATTATCAGAGATGGGCGGGGGGCAATTCAGTCTCACACAAAGTTCTTTTTCTGGATAAAAATGCTCTGGGGTTAAAAACCACCTTGTTGTCTCTCTAGCACTGGAAACTAGAAAAACAAGATACTAACCGTGGTGACTGTGAATTAGCATAAAGAAGTCAGAGATGATGGCTCATCTAAAAATCCAAATTAAAAAAACATTATTAGATTAACTTAACTGATACAATCAGAAGATTGGAATGGTCTTTGGAGGAGGGAATGCTAGAACCCTCCAGACTTCCTCATGCTGAAAACAACCACGGCTAATAGCCATTAGCAGAGGGGACCCCGAATCAGTTGGCAGAGCAACAAAGGCCCACATCTACATACTTCCATGTTATCCACTATACAAACTCCTAGGAACATCTACAGACATTAAAATATTTTACCTGCTCCAAGCCACAACAGAAGACTAAAGTGCAAACTAGTATCTGGGAAGCCTGACCGCATGCCCCGTGCTCTAATGGCTCAGGAAACAAGCTCAAACAGAAGCTTAACGTTTCTTATTTATGAATGTGCGATGCCCTTGTGCCGTGGCAAGGATCTGCATGACGGTGGCCACTACTGCAGCACGTGCACACGCTCACACTTTGCTGCTATACTTAGTCCAGAGCACAACCCACCTTCAGCAAGCTGAAGGACTCTGGAATTTCTTCTTCTAGTTTTAGCTGCAATGACAACAGTTGCTACAAGGAATGGCAAGCCACATCTGTTATTTTCCCTACTGACCAAATCATCCTCATTTCCTCCTAAACTGAAAGCAAGTTGTTTTGCACAGCCATTTGAAATGCAAACATTCTGTATTTTCTCCGATCAGCACAGCACATTGATTCAGTTTCCTAACACTGTATTTTCGACGTGGAGATTAAAGAAAACACGGAATGCACTAAAAAAAACCCCATGTTGTCAGTCAGTGGAAATAATTCAGTGTCCCAGAAAAGCCTGCGTTACCTCCTCTGAAGAATTTAAGCCATAGTCAGATGTTCACGGCCTAAGTGAGTGTGCCAATTAAAGACGTTTTCTTTCCCAAACTGTTCCTGCCCCTCTGCAGGAGCCAACAGAAGAGATCACGCAGTCACTCCCCAGCTACTCTGGTGCAAGGTCAGCTGCCTCCATTTACACACTCATCTGCAGCAGATCAACCGAAGCTGGCTTCAGTGAAGCTGGCAAGGAAGGCTCGGCCCATCCACTCCTTCAGGTGAGCTCCTGAACAGGCTCATGAACAGCCATCAGCAGAGGGGCAGCCCCACCTTTGGCTCCTGAAGAGCCCAATGTGACCATAAACTTACACCAACCACCTCACCGTACAGGCTGCGAGCTCAGTGAAGCAAAACCAACAATGAATTACAACTTACAATTTGCCTAACGTATGGAAAACACATTAAATTCCCTCTGTCCCTTTACTAGAATCGCTTCAAGGTGGATGTTTTCCGAAGGAGTAATCCATATTTTTTGTTCTGCTTTAAAAAGAATATATCACACAGTCAGTAAGTTACCTGCCCAGAAAAGAAAGAAGAGTAGTAGGTTATCAATTGAAGTCAGAGATTCAAAGAACTCAGTACCAGCTGAGCGTAAACAGTAAGTAACCTTTGGAATCTATTTTGGTTTGGGGTCTAGCATTTTGTTAGCGAGTCAAAGATGCCCTTAAAAAGTTTCTTATTTATGCAGGTATGTAAGTGCAGGGAAGAAGCACAAAGTGCTTCAAAGTTGCTCCCATAATTAAGAGCAGGAAAAGATAATTGCTTGATTTCTCAAGTCAGAAGCAACTTGCCATTTACAGAAAGAGTAAGCTTCAGGTTTGCCTGGGAAGTGGAGTAACCTGGGGGGGAAAAACGCCTCTTCGTATACCAGTCCAGTTCCCACATGGCTTCTCCCTGGTTAGGGCTGAACATGGACATTTAACAGGCGCCATAATACACAATTATATCATGAACTATATGTATGTTTTCTACTACTGTATTCTTACTCTTCCAAAAGTATTAGCAAATAACGCGCAAGAGCAGTGCCACCAGGGCAAAAAGGATTGAGGGGAGGGAGAAGACAGACATGGAGGACTATCCCTCAGAACCTCTCAGGTGCACACAGAGAAAACAGGGCAGAGGAGAAACAGCCTGAAGGAAATTTTCACTATATAAAATCACAGCAGAGTAAGTAGATTTTATGTAACAGCTTCCAGGGTGCTAAAACCAATACACCTCTCTCACAACAAGGACAAAGGCACTATTTCAAGCCCACTATGGAAGACAGTATTCCTGAAGGTAAGAGAAGAGCTCTAGTAACAAAGGCCGAATTCCAAAAGCCCCGAGTTCTTTGGGAACTGCTGATCACATAAACGCGCTCTGGAGGCAGCCTCTTCGCTCGCAGCTCCTGTTTGGACCAGAGGATGCAGTACAGCTAACATAGCGCAGAGCATTTCTATAGCGATTACATTCCAGGTCACATCTTAATTGCCATGGAGCTACAACCAAAGCTTCACAGCACCCATGGTGACAACTGGAAACTCACTTAACATAAGCTGAAGCTAGGGGGAAAAAAAAAAAAAAAAAAAAAAAAAAAAAAAAACAAACATACGATAAATACTTATTCGTGCAAGTAACAGGATGATTAACAAACATCTGAAATAAAACACACAGAACTACCTTCAAATAATAGTTTCCTTCTGTAGCAAGGTTACTGACTAAAGAAAAAAAAAAAAGAGAAAATTATAGTTAAGCCAAAATACAGCTGGTTCCTACTTGCCCTTCCAGAATGCCCCAATTTCAGAACGGAAACAAGAAACTCTAGCACGGAGAAAAGAAAGTTCAGGCTAGAAAGATGGAGCTTACACGTGGTCATCTCAATTCGAGGGAGAAGACAAGTCAGCTCATAAACAGCAAAATACACTCAAAACAAGCCACCCTCCTGAAAAGCGTGATCAAGTTTCCACACATAGTAAACAGCTAAAGGCTTCCAGAAATAGGTGAAAACATTCTCCGTGGCCGAACTTCTCGCCAGGGAAGCGCGTTAGATCCCACATCAGGAGCTGAATGGCTCCGTCTCCCCGCAGAGCTCGAGCCTGGGCCCTTCTGCGGGGGCCACCTCCAGAGGTGGGTGTAATTTAACCCCAGGAGCTCATTCAGCCCTGGGCCTCTCTGCTGAGAGCCAACATGGACGCTGCCTGCCGCCAGTCAGGAAGGTGTTTTCCAAAGTGTGAACACCATTTTAAAGGGAATTGCCACCAACCCGACCAAAGCAATTCCACACAGACCACTCCGCAGCCAAATTAGGCAGGCAGTGACCCAGACCCCACCGAGATGAGGAAGGGAGTTAACCCCTCCCGTCCCCAGAGCCACCCCGACCACCCCCAGCCACTTCCCCATTCCCCAGGGCATGGAAGCCAACGCAGAGAGCACGCACCTGGCGATGGGGCTTCGGCTCACAGACCGCTTCGCGGCGAAAGGGCTGCTCGAGCGCCGTCGGCTGTAAGGGCTGGGTGACCTCCCGCTGTACGACCCGCTGCCTCTCTCGTAGCTCGAGGAGCGTCTCCTGTTGTAGGGGCTTATGGACCTCTGCCGCCGGCTGTAAGGGCTGGGAGAGCGAGTGTTCGACTGGTAAGCCACGGGCTCCTTGTAGGGCGGGCTGATGGACTGCCGGCGCGAGGAGCCGCCGGGGCTCTTCCTGTAGGGATCATAGTTACTGGATGTGTGAGAGCGGGGAGGGCTGAGATCGTACTCCTGGATGTAGGAGGCTCCTGAGGGGCTGTCGTCCAATTTAGGGCTGTCAGACCATTTTCTGTGAGGACTTCGGGATTTCCGCTTCGGACTGTCAATTGTTTTGTAACTTTTTGGAGCATCCCTTTTCCGATGGCTTTTACTACGCTCTTTGTGGCTGGACTTGAGCTCCCGATCCTTCCTGGATTTCTCCTTGTGCGCTTTGGCTGACCGAGACTCCTTGTTGCTACTCTTTGAGGACAGTGACTTCGGATGCTCCTCGCTTTCAAGGAGTCTCTTGGAGGAGCCCGATATTCTCTCCTTGGTGGACCCGGACCTGCTGGATGCCTCCAGGCTCTTTTCTAACTTCCTCTCTTTTTCCGCCTGTTTGCTCTTCATCAGCTCACGAATGCGCTTGTGCTGGTGGTGCCGGTGCTTCTGTATCCTCTCGCTCCTGTCCGCTTTCCTTTCCTCGTTCTCCCTCCTGTCCAGCTTGAGGGCCACATCATCCGAGAAGGTATCCGAATCCGAACTGATGTCATCATACTCCACCAGCGGCTTGATCATCGCGCCCA